GTTTTAAACATTTTGCATTGGGGGAAAGTATAAGAAATCAAGATACGATTCCAAAAATATTATAGAAATAATATCAGTGTTCGATAAACAGATTTATGAAATGTGACTATTATTGACTATGAATTCGTGGGTTATTACTTATTACCTATGGAAAATAATTTTATTTGTAAATTTGACATATTTATACTGTACACATTTTTAATTTACTTTTTAACATAACTTTTGATAATAATATAATACAATTATAATTTATAATCATATTTGATACTTTTGATAATTTCAAGACTTTTAAGTCATCAAGTTCCTAAATTAATTTATAAATATATTATAGTACCAAGTAATTTTTGGCTGTTATCTAACTAATTAATTAAAACACTATGATTATTTTACCTAAATTGTTAATATTACCTATACTATATATTTTAAAGTGACAAAGTGACCTAAAACCATTTTAAAGCAGTCACCACTGAAAAAAACAAATACAAATATGCTCAGATGCTCCGTGCTATTAAAATTGGATTCTGGTTCCGCAATATATTACCTACAAATTAAAAGTTTGTTAAAAATATGTCAGTGACCTTTTTAATTTCTCTCTGACCTATGAGCAACATACGAAGTTTGTTAATGTATACTTGGTCTATGGAATTGTCTTAAAGAAAATCAACTTCTCAAAAATGTTCAATATATTGGCTTGACTCCCTAGTTCCTTGTAGGTATCTACAACTTATTATTATATTTCGGTTTTGAAAACCATGATATTATAATATATTGTGTATTTGTGTGAACTAAAAACTGTAATAACAAATCATTAAGTTACTTTCAGCAAATATTTAAAATTTTAGAGACCTCAGATAACTACTTACTTAGGTACATGTGTTCCGTGTTTGAACTATATGACGCTAGTTAGACACTTACAAAATGTGTAAACCAAAAACTCTATGACTAGCCACTAATAATTATTATTGACTAAGGCAGACATTAATGAGAATGTGTACGATATGTTTACCTATACAAGTCCCAAACATAATACAGAGTACCTAGTTGTACAATAAGTTACAAGGGGGTCAATGTTTAATGGATTGTATTAAACTTGAATTCAATGATATAATATCATCGAACTATGAGAAATTCTTAAGTCTTAACTGTTATATAATACCTAGATAACGAATTCTAACCAAATTCCGAAACCAAATTTTAGTAGTCATAAATACATAATTTAAACCATCTAGTAGTTGTAATGTTGTGCAGAAGTGAGGGTTTGTGAGTACAAGGCTTGTCGTTCTGTAAAATGACTTCTCCAACTGAAAATTAACAGATTAATCTGACATTGTTGGCATTGTGGCATCAACTGACATTGTTATGATACCACTGTCCTTCATTGTGTGCTTGTGTGTGGGGGTACGTGTGCGTCGAGGGCTAGGACGCCATACATACTGTTTTTGTAATGACCACATAATATAACTGTTCTCATTTCAGACATCCATTGTTATTATATTATTGGTTAGTCATTTTGTGTCAATATATTTTGTAAATAATTATTTAAAAAAAAAAAGAAGGGGATGTTACCAGTACCACTGTCTACTGTCCACTTTCGGGGATGATGGTACCACTGTCTTTCACCGTGTGTGTGCGTGCGTGTGTGTGTGTGTGTGTGTGTGTGTGTGTGTGTGTGTGTGTGTGTGTGTGTGTGTGTGTGTGTGTGTGTGTGTTTGTGTGTGTGTATGCGTGGAGATCTAGAACTCCATTTATTGTTTTTGTAACACATAGCTGCTCTCATGTAAGACATCAGACGCCATACCATTTCAGAAAGGTTATTCTAAAAAATTGATCTATTATATTTTTAAAGGTCGTAAGAAATTGGCGCAGAATCGAAATTTTAAAGAAGACGATGTAAGTACCTTAATAATATTTATAGGAGACTAACTTCCTTTCTTCCACTGACCAATCGGTTCAACATAATCAATTCTGTCGGTTATGTTTTATAATCAGAAATAATCATTGTCAAGTCCTTTGTCTAGTAAAAAGTTGACAAGGTCCAATGATATATTTTGAATAAATAATTTGATCTACCACGGTCCACGGATGCCATCCTTTAAGTTCTTATTCAGTGAGCAATAAAGAATATTTATTAATATACGTGGGTATTTCAGGAATTGTTTAAAAGCTGTAATTATATTATGGACCTGCATCATAGCTTTCAATGCATCGGTGACCGCTTTCGTGTATCGTGAAAATATGGACATAAAATCAATACAAGTAACTTCTTGTGGACCATTGCTTAGAAAGATAGAAATATACTATAAGTTTATTCGTAATGAGAATACAAAGCCATTTTTTGATGCTATGGAACATGGTATGTGAACATTTTAGTGTAAGACTGTAAAGACTACATTATACCTAAACCATATTGATTATTATAATGTAATTGAGTATTTTTTAGTTATGATTGGAACACGTGTGCACGAAATTATTTTTGCGTCGCCATGTGATAAAGAAATACCACATACATATTATGAAAAACAGATTCTGGATAGGCGTTGACACTGTTGACAGTCAAGCAATTACAATTCAATCCATCACTGCAAGATCACAAAAAGAAATGTCAAGAAAATTAATAAATGCATAATGTGTTTTCATTATTTATAACATTTTTAAATAATTATTTACATTAAAATAATGATTATGTTCATTGTAAACTTCTGTATTTCCAAGTAATATATTATTATTTTTTGGGTTATATCAAAAATTGAAGTTAAATCATTTTTCTTTTAAGAGATGATTTTTATTATATTGACATTCACACAATAGATTTTCACGTTTTACTTCTTCGTTGAGCAATTAATGTAAAGATTTTACAATTATGGGTTTTTTTAGTTGGTGTATTAAGAAAAGTACCTACATTAACTTTAAGGAAAACAATAATTTTGATTACCAAGTCAGTTTTCTACAATTGTTGAGGTGTCCATTTTTGAGTGGTCTTTTCAATTAGAATTTTCTAGAATTGGTATATGATTGTAATTTGTATAATACGATTACTCTCTTTGTGATATATGAGGACATTTACTTATTTTATCAATGTGTAGGTATGTATTATCTTAACTTGATTAATATTTTTTTGAAAAAGTAACAATAATATGGGCAATGGGGGGGCTTCAGCCCTTTAGCCCCCCCCCTGCGAACGCCACTGCCCCTTGGTTATGATTATGATGATATTCCTTATCGAAGGAAGTTGGAACCAGCAATTACAACTATATTCACTCCTGCTGGAAAATTTGTTGCAAGTGAATCTAATATTATTGACCAAGAGACGTCCTGCAGTGACAATTATTCCCATTGTCAATTATGATAATCACAGGTATTTTATTTGATAATAATACTAGACTAATTTTGTAATTGTTTTTTAAAAACTATTATACCAAGTAAAGTAATAGTGCTGCTCGAGTTAACTAATATTGTTGACTTTTTAAATAAATTTTATCTAGAAGAATTCAATTTAACAATGTCAACTCATTAAGTTGAACATTACCCAAAAATTTACCTTTACCTTAATTAATTTTACTCGCTCATTTTGTTGACAAATTTAATGTATATTGTATTAATCTATTATGTTCTTAGTGATGCAGACAATTTAAAATTTAGGTGTGGAGATAATGGGTGAGTATTTATTAACAAAAACCATATACAATTTTTATATTTATTAATTAAACATTTTGTAAATTGCATGTAGACAAAAATATAAACATAAAGTTAAGCTTTTTGATGATGAGTTAGGGGTATTTCCACTGAATGATACCGGTGAAATTACTAAGGACAATCTCATTAAAAAGTATTATATTTTTAAAAATTAAATAATTTCTCTTTGTTTTATAACTTATATAATAAATAATAATATATAAACAATATACTTATAGCTAAGTTGAAATATCGGTAAACAAATAAACAATAATACATAATACTTATATTGTCTCTTTGTCTGTTCTTTAGTAGAGTATGTAGAATGAATAATTTAAAGTACAGTGATTTTTTTTTTCAGTATTTTAATAGTATTTATTATTAACTATCTAGTGTTATACTTTTATTTTTTAGATGTTTATTTTTGTTTTATTAATCCAAAACTTAATCATCTAAGGCCATTACTTTTTCCAAATTGTAGTAAAAAGTTTACATTAAACAATATTATATTCAATTGTATTTATTAATAATTTACTAGTGTTATACTATTATTTTTTAGATGTATATTTTTGTTTTACAGTCTAAAACTTAAACATGTGTTTGAATACTTTGTTTAAGCCTAAACAGCTTAAGGCATTACTTTTTCCAAATTGTAGTACAAATTTTGTAATATTTTATAACATTAGTTACATTTATTTTTTTTAAATATATTGACGGTATAGGTACATTGAACAATATTATACTTAATTGTATTTTCTATTAATTTGCTAGTGTTATATTATTATTTTTTAGATGTATATTTTAGTTTTACAATCGAAAGGCCATTACTTTTTCTAAAGTGTAGTAAAAAGTTTATAATATTATATAACATTAGATAACATTTTTTTTTTTAATATATTGACGTATAGGTAAGTACATTGGACAATATTATATTAAATTGTTTTTATTATTAATTTAATAGTGTTATACTATTATTTTTTAGATGTATATTTTAGTTATATTTATCTAAAACTTCAACAGCTAAGGCCATTAGTTTTTTCAAATTGTTATACATAGTTATTATATAACATTATTTTTTTTTCCTAATATATTGACATAGGTACATTGAACAATAATATTTACAATTGTAATTTAACTGTATTTATTATTAACTAACTATAAGTAATTGTTATATTATTAACATCTGATAGTGTACAATAAATATTATTTTGTTTTATTACAACATTGTTTTAATTTTTAAATTCCTATGTTTAATAACATTAAACAATATTTATTATCCGTATAAATAGACTGCAAGAAAAAAAACGTCCAACTAGAACAGTCAATTTATGATCAAAAAAAAATGGATAGATAACGAAGAGAGTAGGTTTGAGTACAAGTTTAAAAATATTTTGTCTAAAATTTTTACTCCTACGCAAACTGAATTATTATTAAGACTTAAAAAAGTGTATAAATGGTCTCCCGAAGATATTGCTTCAGCTATCACAATTAGAAGTGTATCCCCTAAGGCATACAGATATTTAAGAGAGAAGAAAAACTTTCCTTTGCCAGGTACATAATTAATGAACATATTAGGTAGGTATCTACTTAATTTATAAAAAAATTATCTCTGAACTAGGCATGTCTACTTTGAGAAATTGGGCTTCAACATTTTCAATTGAACCAGGTTTATTGAAAAATGTTATGATTTTGTTGAAAGCCAAAGGTACACAACACTCCTCAAATAATCAAATAATTTTATTATATTGAATTAATTTTATAAATTTAAGGAGATACCATGTCAGTGAATGAAAAATTAACAATGATTTCATTTGACGAAACATATGTTTCAAATAAAATCTGTTATGATAAAAAATCTGAACAGATTTATGGTCCAGCTAAATGTGTACAAGCAGTTGTTCTGAGGGGTAGATATAATTTTTTACAATGTTCGTAAATTATGTTCTTCCTGATCAAAATATTGAAGAACAATGAAATGTTTATTTTATTGATTTAGGACTAGTAGGAAGTTGGAAGCAGCCAATATATTTTGACTTTGACACTCCGATGTCAAAAGAATTATTGTTACACATTATAAGTGAGGTACATAATATTGGTTTTAAAGTTGTAGCTATGGTCAGTGATATGGGGCCTAGTAATATGGGCCTATGGCGGGATTTGGGGATATGTACTGAAAATACATGGTTTAAGCATCCAGTAGAGGGAACAAAAGTACATGTTTTTGCTGATGTTCCACATCTCTTTAAATTGGCCCGAAACCATTTTCTTGACAATTCAGTGCTTATATACAAACATTTGTCCAAACTTTATAAAATAACTCTAAATTGAAATGAAAATTATTATGTACTGGTTTAGAGGGTTTGTTTTGTCAGATGGAAAATTGATCGGGAAAAATATTCTCAAAGAAATATTGAGGATAAATAAAGACCAAGACTTTCAAGTAGCTTATAAACTATCCGAAAAACATATTAATGTCCAAGGTACAGCTCGAATGAATGTGAAACTTGCTGCTCATGTTTTTTCAAATAGCGTTTCTAAAGCCATACTTTTCTGTGGAGAAAAAAACTTAATTAATGATTGTAATTGGAAAGAGGTAATAACATGATTAAAGTTAAATACATGTATAATACAATATAGTATAGACTATAAAAGATAACATATTATGTTTAACTATAGGCTTCAGAAGTGATACAACTAATAAATGACTGGTTTGATTTAATGAACACTCAGCAGAAGTATGATAACCATGTTGCAAGTTATGGCTTAAATGAAAATGAACAAAATGAATTGCTCTCTAAAATGAACAATTTCATACTTCAAATGAGAGTTTATGGTAAAAATGTACTTCTGCCTTTTCAAAAAGGTAATTATTTCTTACAATAAATTAACTTAACGGAATGATTTCAAAATATACCTTTTTTAATAGGTATAATCGTTACCAATAAGTCGGTTCAAAATCTACTTGAAGACTTAAAAGATTTTGGATTATCATACATTATGACAAGGAAGTTAAATCAAGACATGGTTGAAAATTTATTTAGCTACTTAAAAGGAATGGCCGGATCAGCTATGAATAATATTTCGCCTATAGATTTTAAATATTGGTAATATTAGTTTTACTTTTATTTTTAAATACTATGTTATATAGTTATATTAGTTAAAAGTATATTTAAAATTATTTTTATTAAGTATCAAGAATAGGTAGGTACAGGATAGAATATAAGTATAACCATAGTCTCAAAGTAGCAAGAAAATAGTGCACATACAATTTGAAAAATAATTTTAATCATAGGTGAAACTACGGGTCAGGCCATGACCCCACTTAATACTAGATAATATACTGACTTAATAAAATTTCAAATTTTAATATAAAAAATTATTTTGTAATTAGAATTTTTTTTCATATTCTTCATTTGGCCTATCCTAATAACATTTTTTAGTTTTACCTATGATTTTAATTAAGGGTGAAGGACATTACAAGTACATTACCATAATACTAAATAGATAATAGCAAAACTAAAAGTACCTGCAATTATATATATCTCATATTTCAGTCTTAGGTGGTATATATCTTAGGCAAGCATTCAAATGTTATTTTTACTCAAAATACGAACACCGAGGGAGTGCAAGAAGAGAACATTTTGAACGAAAATGATAGCTTGGTGAAGAATATACTCATCGACGCTGTTGTGGATGATGTTAAATCACGCGTGTGAAGTTGGGTGACCAATTTTTGGTGATAAGAAAACTTGTATGCTCGGTTGCATTACGGTATTTTCTAGGCGCACAATGTTTATATTGCCGTTTGTAAGTTCTACTTCTATTTCTAACCACAAGATAGCAGTAAAGGATTCTTCACGAAATATTATAAGGTCACCTAAACTTCATAGTATTATAAAATGACGCCGCGAAGCCAGGACATAGCACTATACACGACAGCCATACGACGCGAAACGTATACGCGCGCGTGGTTTTTGATTTTTCAGGCAGTGTTCCGGAAGGAGTCGAAGGACCTAACATAGATATTCGGAAAGCCAGGAAAATTTACTATCCGTCGAGATAAATTTCAAGAGCTCCCGGGCTTTGGGGATAACCGTACTTAGTGCACGAAAGTGCCAGGTGACTAATGCCGGTATGACGCGAAACGTATACAATCGCGTGGTTTTTGGTTTTTCCGGCAGTGTTCCGGAAGGAGTCGATGGACCTAACATAGATATTCGGAAAGCCAGGCAAATTTACTATCCGACGAGATAAATTTCAAGAGCTCCCTGGCTTTTTAAGTAACCGTACTTAGTGCACGAAAGTGCCAGGTGACTAATGCCGGTATGACGCGAAACGTATACAATCAAGTGGTTTTTGATTTTTCAGGCAGTGTTCCGGAAGGAGTCGATGGACCTAACATAGATATTCGGAAAGCCAGGCAAATTTACTATCCGACGAGATAAATTTCAAGAGCTCCCTGGCTTTTTAAGTAACCGTACTTAGTGCACGAAAGTGCCAGGTGACTAATGCCGGTATGACGCGAAACGTATACAATCAAGTGGTTTTTGATTTTTCAGGCAGTGTTCCGGAAGGAGTGGAAGGACCTAACATAGATATTCGGAAAGCCAGGAAAATTTACTATCCGTCGAGATAAATTTCAAGAGCTCTCTGGCTTTTTAAGTAACCGTACTTTGTGCACGAAAGTGCCAAGAGACTAGTGCCGGTATGACGCGAATGAAACGTTTTTACTTGCCCCGGGCCCCGCAAAACCCTGTGCCGGCACTGGAGTCAAAGACAAAACTATTATGGCGTCCGTTAAAATACGATAATCTATACATTTATTATATGTTTATCATTTATATTATTATTTTCCAAAAACGTGGCAGTCGAACGGAATGTCGGAATGTGTCGTTGTTGGTCCGCCGCGCAGTCCGTACGTACCTATACAGTATGTCAGTATACGTTGATAATTATAGTTAAATAACCTCTTTCGGATGTTGAGTGTAAACTGTAATAAATTGTGTAAAGTATTTACTATAGACTTTTAAAACTCGAAATAGGTAAGCAAAAGATGGGTAGACTACCAAAAAGTCCAGTTATAGACGAACGATTGTATCCCGACGACCCGACACAGTAATAGTAAAAAATAATAATAGACTAGGTCTTCAATTCAATTATCTCCCTTTAATTAATTAACTAAATAATTAAATGAAAACAAGTTCACTGTTGTACGCTGCAGTTAAAAACTTTTGATTACATTTTTATACTTACATATGCGAAGATATTAATTTCATTATTGTTATATTATTTGCAGCGTAAGTACTATATTTTCGCATGATCAAGCACCTAATTGGAACAAATTATTTATTGGAAAACATTATTATCCACCAGTAGGGTCATTTTAAAAAATGATGCGCCCCGGGGCACTCATAAAATTCCATCCTATTTTTGAACGACTAGTGAGGGGAGGGGGATGTCCAGTGTCAAAAAAAAATATAAATACCCATATAAATTTATAAAACATTACTTGTATTTTAAATAAAGGAACAAATTCCGTTTAGTTTCCACGGCATTTAAAAAAAAAAGTTGGTGAAAATATACCCCCCCCCCAAATGACGCCCCTGGAGTTAAGAACACTGAACAGTACATAATAATAATAATATACAGATACATTTTAATTCATGGGGTAGGTACAATAACAAAGTATGACAAGTATAGACAGTACCTAGTCGCTCGCTACGCCTATACGGCTATACCTACCAGGTAGGATCGCCAAACTCGAGGTCTTACAGATAAAAGTCATTATATTATCTTATTGTATATTATAATAACCTGCTAAGAAGAGCTGCGCACGCTTATGTTCTTCGGTAATCGGTATCATCACTATTCTTTTCACTTTCCTCATTTGGTTTAATATCACCACATCAAAGACGACCACGGTTGTAGGTATTTGTGTTTTCCTTCAAATAACAACTCATCGATTTGAACTATCACATCTTTTCCACATAATTTTGATCACTTGACAAATTTATTAATAGTCATATTGTGTCATAAATTTAACTAATCGACAACTGTATTCTTAATTAGGGCAGTAAATTAGTAATTACACACATTGGTCATCGGCCCGGTAAAGATAAGGATAGGTTAATTATCAGTTGTAGGTCGCAGATACCTGAATCAGCGGTGGCTGTCGTGGCGAACGGACGTGTTTGTGTGTCGCTCTCGCGAAAAACCGTTTCTACAGTGGAAATAGTCAACCGTTTTTTGCAAACCAGGTACCAATCGACGCAGAATCCAATTCTGAAGAGTTTGGTACAGTCCGCGCGAAGATCGGTTGAATTTTAACCGGGAAATCTCATTTCTTGTGCCCCACAAGTGTATCGAGCTACTGTGTTACGCATTACTTGTCTTTCCGATAAAAAGTGCGCGTTCGGGCCGGTGTCGATTTTGAGTCGGCCCGATTAAGATCCACTGCACCCTCCCGAAGGGCTCGGTGCTTCGCGCGTCCATCCCGGACCCCTCGGTGCCGAGCAAACACGGAGGATAAGCCCCTGCGCCGCCGGGAAGTTTGCAACCGCAATTTACGCGGCAAGTTCGCTAGCGGTGGCTGAAAAGACGCGGCTGAGGAAGACGAAGCCAGGGACACTTCGTCCGCATCGGTCCGACGCTTAGTTGGTGAGTAATCGCTCTTTTTCTTAACTCCCTATCCTTTTACACGGCCGCCCAAAGCCGCCGTGTGAAAAACGGGAATTCCGAAGTATCAGCTATTTCTCGCGCCGGGGGAAGAGCTGCTACCTAGATAACGCGTCGGGGAAGAACTGTACCCTTGATAAGGCGCGACGGGGATCAGCCGACGGCGTGTGGAGAAGTGTCGGCGGCCTATCCGTCCTTTGGCGGCAAATTTAAATTTGCCTCCAAAAACAGTTTTTCGGGGATAACTCGTCGGGGATTGATCTCAGAGCTTCGGGAGAAAAATTTTGCGCTCCCGAAATCCCCTAACCTACCAGGACGATCCCCGGCAAGTTTCCGCAGGTTTGACCCCCCTACCCCTCCAGGGGAGGAGCAAGGATAGCGACACTGAGAAGTGTGACCAGGCAGTCACCTCCGAAGCCAGTGCAGGCACCGATACCTTCGGATTTGGTCCCTGCACTGCTTCACTACTCACTGCCGAACGGAGAAGTGGTAGTAACAAAGGGGGCAAGGGTCGCAGGACCTCCCCCTTGCCATGAACTCCCAGAGTGCCTGTGGCGGCAAGCCAACAGACTCAGATGCAGGCAGCGAGCCAGACCACTCGGCTACTAGCAAGCTGGAGCATCTCGAGGGCAAAGACACGGGTCTCTTCAGAATGCTCAAGGCGGAGGTGGAGTCCCTGAAGGACATGGCCAAGCGCACTCAGGTAAAAGGACTCAAGGAGAGCGTCGACACGGTGTGGAACATCATAGGCTCTATTGAGAGTAATAACGTTGAGCTTAAAGTGGCAAGGAACCAGCAAGCAGGCAACAAGCTCGTAGTCGTTGATGCGAGGAAAGTTGTGGCGATCCTTACACAGACCTTGAACACGACGGTGGAATCGTCCAATAAGGCAGTACTGGATGCCATTGCAAGCGTAAGCGAAAAGGTAACAGGAGCATATGAGGATGGTGACTCCGTTAGGCCTGGAAGCACCAACAGCGCGGAGGTCAAGACGGCAGTCGCTAATCTGCAGATGATGCTAGAAGCACAGAGCGCAAAGATGGAAGAGAAGGCTGAGCTCGGGAAGCAGACCAGTTGGACGGATGTCGTCAGGAAAAATACAAGGAGAGGAAAAGGCGAAAAACCAGTCGACAAACCAGCTGAGCTGGCAGTCGCGGGAACAAGACGGACCAACCAGAAGAACCCGCCGATGAAGCGAAAACCTCCAGCATTATTGGTGCGCGTAAAGGAAGGAGATTACAAGAACGTACTCCAAAAAGTAAGAAACAGCGATGAGATCAAAGTAGTCGCGGACAAAATAACAGCGCTCACAAAAACCAAAAGCGGGGACCTCTTAGTGCGAGTAAACCCTGGCCAAGAAGGAATGGCTCCCTTAGCCGAAGCTCTGGGGGCGGCTGTGGGAGGAAATGAGTTGGTCAAAGAACTGATGCAAT